TTAAACTCAAAAGGGAGCTAAAAATTTAATAAAATTTAATAACTTAATTTAACGTTTTTAATAAAACAATTATTCCACTTGCGCTTGTTGGATATGAGATGATTATAGCCAACGAGGCGCGTAGCGCCTCGTTGGCTATCTATCATCTCATATCCAACGCGCGCTCGTGGAATAATTGTTAATTATATTGTAAGGAGAAATTCCTTTTTGGTCACTCATGGGATTGAAAGCTTTAAAAGAGGTATGCTTTGTGTACAGGTAAGTTGGTGAACCATTGAGAAGAGTTGACATTAGGGTTCAAAATTAATTTTTAAACTTACTTAAGCCAAGTGCCTCGTGACATCTTAGATGTTACAACAATTTAGGTTTGTTCACCTGCCAAACTGGCTAGTAAAAATCAAAAAGTACCAGCCAAAACCAAATTTCTACTGGTTAGTGTTGAGCCCTGGACATACAACCAGGTTTTCCGTAATCTGTACAAAGTATAAGCGCCGTGAAAATATTGAACAGTTCTTTTAGAACAGAATCTTCTGTCAAATGTTTCAACTACAGAAAAACGATCCATTTTCATCCACCTGTATGTATTCATGACTTGTTATTCTGTGTAATAAGTGTTATTTTGCTCTATAATTTGGATATATCAACAAAGTTGAAATGGTAAATTGGCCACCGTAACGATTATAAAAGCTGACGTTTCGAGCGTTAGCCCTTCGTCGGAGCGAATGTAGTGCACTTCACAGCTGCATGTCAATCCTGGAACCCAACCTTAAACAACTTTAAAAGGAAATTCAGTGAGTCGTTTATCAGGTATCAAGTAATACCAACATTATTCCCCATTTACGCTGTAGCAATACTAATACTTTTACCGATTTTTGCGACACATTTCAAATCATCGTTTCAGTTGACTTGATTAATAGCGATCTCATGAAACCTAACGCAAAAGATAGTTTATATAGAATGAAAGAAATAAAAAAGTGAAAATGATGGATATAAGTACAATTAAACAACAGCTTAGCACCGGTAAAATTGATAACAACATAGCGTTTGCGGCTTGAAATCAGTTCAAATCTTAAAAGATGTATGCGCGTATTAAAAGAAGAGGAGAGGATCGAATTAATCTTAAACTATTATCTCCCGGTATGATTAAAATAGAGGCCCTGATGGATCTACAACCGGCATGGACGCCGTTTACATAAAACGATTTTGAAATAAAGTTTAAAATGCGGCCACGGCGAGAGAAGAATTGATTGATTTACATCTAATTTTTTTTCCACAAATGAAGGCCGAGGCTTCTTCTAAATAAATTTGGAGTCACCACTAGTTGAAAGAAATGATTTACATCCATCTTCTGACATAATTTTCCCATGATTTGGCCCACCATCTGCTTAAATCTTACCTGTATGTCAGTCTTCAACCACTTGGCACCCAGCCTTGGTTGAGGTCGCAAAGAAGACACCGGGTTTGTTAGATTAGGCATATTTTCAAAGCTTGTAAAATCAACAAATATTACTTCAGGGGATGAAGACATCGAGGTGGAAAGTGCGGCATCCCTACGCTGATAAGGTAATGGCTTGTGTTTAAGACATAATACAGAGGAAGTAAGCTTAAACAAGTAATCTCTAACAATAATTTGGCACACGGAAGGAGCGTATGTTGACACCGTGAGTCTTAAAAATATACACTGACCTGTGGGACATGGTAGTGACCGCTGACAAGCTACCTCGTCCCAGTTTACCAGGCGAGTCATGAGCGGTGGGGTGGCTCGATCTCCTCCCTTGCCTAGTCGATACGTCTGACCACCGTCCCCTTGCGTTTGGAGTTATCAACTTTGAATAAGGTGCCAGCTCACCTTTTATAGTCGGTACAATTCTGGAAAGCATGTTGTCACTTTGGATGAACCACTTCCTCT